TACATGGAAGGTAGTGGCCGATTTGCACATGGCTTTTTCCCATCGCTGTGCCCTGGTGACCTTTCCACAGCGGTAGAGTTTGTTCCTCGTTCCTTTCACGACAGCAGGTCCCCACTTCATTGTCATGTGTGGTTTTCACTGGGATCCATTTAACTGGCACCAGCGATCGACATGCGGGTTGTTGATAAGCTGCTTTTATAAACCGCGCTACAGTGAATCGTGTACGTGAGGCAACTCGCAGCAGCAGGTGTGAGTCGGAGAAAGTGCATTTGCACTAAAGCTAGGTGTTGGCATTTGCCCTCCACGGGGTGTACCAGGTTTTATTTCTACCAGTCTCTGTCCTCTACTTTACCAACAGTGTGTTGACAAACATGGGTTTCTGCCCATGAAATATGTGGGAATGATAATGTACTATTCAATTTCAAACCAAATGTGCAATTTAGCTCTCTTACCGAGCTGAGGAAAAATAGTGCCTTAGTTCTAGAGTGGGCCCTGGCCAGTTTGGCTCAGCGGTTAGAGCGTCAGCCTGCGGTCCGGAGAGACCCGGGTTCGGTTCCCGCTAAGGGCATGTACCTCGGTTGCAGTTTGTCCCCGGCCCTGGTTGGTCGTGCGGGTGGCAGCCACTCGATGTGTCCCTTTCACATCGAGATGTTTCTCTTCCTCTCCCTCCCTCCCACTCTATCTGAACAAAAAATGGAAAAATGTCCTCGGGTGAGGATAAAAAAAAAAAAGAATCATAGAGTGGGATCTTCACCAAGTTAATAATGGGGTTATAGGTAGCTCCCTTCTCTTTTCTTTTGCTTCAGTTTATTCTCCCTGGATATTGCAAGTATATATTGCTTCAGAAAGAAGCAATAATCAGTTTCAAAAGCCATCATTACATCACTTGAGTGTTTTTACATTATTGGGTTGGATAATACATCATTTCTAACTTCCTAGAGAGGTAAAATCCCTCCTTTTAATAGACTTTTTAACCCTGGTATTTAACAGGAAGCTCGGGGACCCATCCTAGGGCAGTTTAGGAACCTAAGGCATTGATTCGTGCGCCCAGACTCACAAGACTGGTTTTGAGAACTGGGGCGTCTCCATTTACTTACAATGGGGTATCTTTAAAGCACTAAATCTGTGTTGGCCAGGTCACCTTCAACAGTCAAAGTAAGAGGGAGATTGAATTTGGATCACCTTGTGGGATACGATCCCACACCACAGAGATTCAGGGCAGTGATGTGTATTAGCTGGAACAGGGCAGTTCAGTGGAACTGGGATTAGACGTGAGGACTCGGGGCTTTTTCAGCTGTTCTTGGACTGTGGCGTTTCAGCTCTCGTCCTATTTCATACTATCTCCTTAGACACGTTTTCCCCCCTAAAGGAGTGCTTTGAAAGTAGGAGGGGCTTAGTTTAATTCATCCAACAGACCTCCGGTGTAAAGTACCAGGAACTTTGACTAGACTCTGGTGTTGAGCTCACAGAGCGGAAGGGTAGTGGTGATGGAGCTCACTATGTATGTAGCCCCCTTGTAGGTCCAGGACCCCGATGCGTTAAATAATCCCATTATCACAACTGGTATATGCTCCAAGTACCGTACCTGTCACCCTTGCTTTACAGAAGAGAAAATAAGCCCAGAAAAGCCACTTCTCGAGGCCACTCGGGGCAGAGCTATGGTTTAAACACACCAAGCACTTGAGGCTGGGTTCTCTTTGGCACCCCCACCCCCCCCGAGTCAAGCCATTTACCATAGTGCATTTCATTTTGATGTAGTTGTTCTGTTTTTTTTTTTTTCGTCTTTGTATCAGTACCCTGATGCTCTTGTGAGATTATATGCAGGAAAACCTATCACCAAACAGAGTTTCTTAAAGAGTTGATTTTTTCCAGGTTGAGTTTTCAGATTAGATACAGTGTTATCCCAGTTTTACCAGACACATTTCCCTTGACAAGAATCCTGGTCTAATCTAAAGGCTAGCCCAAGATACTCCATCTTCTTTTGGTTCAATTTAATTCGAGCAGGGAATGTTTTTCTGAACCTGGCCCTTAAGTCCTAGGCTGTGCCCTGCAGGGCATTGGTGTCAACATTGTTGCCTTGGGGTGTGGATGGGAAGGCAGAAGGACTAGGCTGTGGACTTTGAGGGCCAGCTAGTGAGAGTAAATTTCCCTAGTGGGGGAGACCTGGGCAGTAGCTCTCTTTCTGCTTAGAGTCAACCAGCTCTGAGAACTTGAGCCCCACCCCTCCCCCTATGTCTTCCCTTTCGGCTTGGAGAATAGACCTTACAAGGTGTTCTGTGAAGAGTAAACGGAGGACACACGTGAAATATGTTGAAAACCGCAAGATGTATACAACTGGCAACTACTGTCCGTTTTACCATAAAAGAGCATCTTTCAGAATGTGGATGGTGTTCTCTGATTATGAAGAGATTAATTTTTATTAGAGCTTGTTTCTCATGCGAGGACTGGAGCTGTCATCAGTGTGGACTGTGGCACAAGATCAACTTGAAACCTTTTAAGTTAAAATTTGCAATAAAGTAGCTTAGGAAGGAAACGTGCAACACAGCTTAATAGTCACGTTCAGTTGACAAGTGCCAGGAAGACAGACCTGGCAGTTCAGGATGGAGCATTGAGACTGGCCTTGCAGGAGGCGCCTGGATGCCTTCCCCGGAGGAGAACAAGCAGAATCTGTGCAGGCAAAGGACCCTGGCTCAAGCTCTCTTCCTATTTTAGTGCAAGCCTATCTCAAGATTTGGGGGAGGAATAAGGCTTGGTCAACAAAAAGGGCCTTACTGTGTGCACGCTACCTTGTGTGGTAATTAAGTGTGTCTTTAAGTTCCTTTTCGGTCTCCCTTACGCCTCCTCTGTATTGCAAGACGTCCCCTGACCCTGAGAATGTAATGAACGAGCCACATGACAACTTTAGCATCCTCTTAATCACTCCCTTGGTCACAGCCAATCTCTGATTTGGGCCTCCCATCAGGCCTTGCTTCTCAAGCTTTCCGGGAACCTCTGCATAAAAGGTATATGGGCTAAACTTATGGAGGGCAACCTTAGCAGACATTTCCAAATGCAGCCATCAAAAGAGAAAACCCTGTTGAATCAGTACATCAAAGCCACAGCCGTTCAGAGCCAACATGTGCAACCTGCTTAATGGGAGAAAGTGAAGATGGAAAGGTGAAGTGATCTGATAGGGAGTGGAGCCCGCACCACACCCCAGCCCCCCCCCTTTAATGGATTTAGAGAGAGAGAGGAAGGAGAGAGACATCCATTTGTTGTTCCACTTACTCGTGCATTCATTGGTCAATTCTTGTATGTGGCCTGACCTGGATGGAACCTTCAACCTTGGCGAATTCGGAGACAAAGGCAGTAAATACAATGGTAACTCAGTATTTCCTAAAATTGGCAGATGCTAGGAATCCGCCGAAAGCACTTGTTAACACATTCCTGGGAGCCGCCGCTGGAGTTCGGTCGGTCCCAGCCGGGAACTGGAACTGTGTGTTTTACAACATGTGAGCGGTTCTTACAAAATAGAATGTTCTAATGAAAAGAGAATTCAGGATTCTGTTTCCTGCAGTCTTGAGCTAAAAGGTACTATACTACCCTCCCCATAAACAGACAAGTTAAAAACCCTGCCCTTCTGGGGAGAAGGGTGAAAGGATTAAGAAATACAAACTGGTCCGGCGGTGTGGGTCAGGGGTTGAGCATCGACCAATGCACCAAGAGGTCACCAGTTTGAGACCGGTTGGGACACATGCCCAGGTTATGGGACTGATCCCCGGTGGGGACACATGCCCAGGTTATGGGACTGATCCCCAGGGATGGCATGCAGGAGGCGGCCAATCGATGTTCTTTCTCATCGATGTTTCTGTCTCTCCCTCTCTCTAAAGAAATTTTAAAAAAGAAGTACAAACTGGCAGTTACAAAATACAGGGATGTAAAGTGCAACATAGAGCATATAGTCAATAATATTGTAGTAGCCGTATGGTGTCCGGTGGGTACTGAAAATCGGGGAGGGGGGGAGCGTCTGTAAATTATAGGACTAAGCACGATTCTGATGCTGCACACCTGAAAATAATAAAGTAATATTGAAAGTCAACTGTAATTGAAAAAATCATTTTTTTAACCTGCCCTTGCTGGATGCAAAGTAGCTCCTGTGACACAGAACCCGGTCCCTCCTCTTTCTTACATCCTCTGTCACCATCCCTACCCCACGGCTGGGGGGCCTTCTCCGGTCCGGCCGCGCCGGGCGGGTCCGGGCCACGTCTCTGGCCGCGCCGCGCGGGCGCTCCCGTGCCACACTCCCATTGGCTGGAAGTTCCGCCGCCCGGAGCCCGAGCGGCCTCCACTCGCCACGCCAGCCCGTCGGGGCGCCGGACCGCCCAGGGGCGGGGCCGGGGGCGGGGCCGGGGCGGGGGCGGGGCCGCGGGCGGCCCGGCGGCCTATGGCGCGGGAGGCGGTGCGCCGCGCCCCTCGAGGCCGGCAGGGCCGGGCCAATCCCGGGCGGCCGGGCGGGCGGTCGCGAGGCCCGGCGGGCCGGGCCGGCGGGCCGGGGGCGGGGGACAATGGGCCGGTTCCGGGTGCGTCACCCCGGAGTTCCTTAAAGAGGAAGCGGCGGCGGCGGCGGCGGCGGCGGCGGGCCCCGCGCCTGGGAGGATGCCCGCGGCGCCCGCGCGACCATGCAATGGCGAGCGCTCGTCCTGGGGCTGCTGCTCCTGCGGCTCGGCCTCCACGGCGCGCTGTGGCTCGTCTTCGGGCTGGGGCCCAGCATGGGCTTCTACCAGCGCTTCCCGCTCGGCTTCGGCTTCCAGCGCCTGACGGGCCCCGCGGACCGGCCCGCGGCGCCGCTGGGGCCGTCGTGGCTGCAGCCGCCGGGGCCCGGGGCGGAGGCGGCGCGGCGGCCGGCCCCGCGGCGGCCCCGGCCCGGCGTGTGCGGCCCGGCGCACTGGGGCTACGTGCTGGGCGGCCGGGGCCGCGGGCCGGACGAGTACGAGCGGCGGTACAGCGGCGCCTTCCCGCCGCAGCTGCGCGCCCAGATGCGCGACCTGGCGCGGGGCATGTTCGTCTTCGGCTACGACAACTACATGGCGCACGCCTTTCCGCAGGACGAGCTCAACCCCATCGACTGCCGGGGCCGAGGGCCTGACCGCGGCGACCCGTGAGTGCCCCGCCCGCCCCGCGCCGGGCGCCGCCCCGGTGCCCCAGCAGCGCCAGGCGCTGGATCCCGGCCCCCTAGAGGCCCCTGGTCTTGGGGTGCGCGCATGAGCTGGGGGCTGCCCTGTTTCTTGGTTCTCCCGGTATCGAGAACTACTGGACAGCTGTCTCTCCTACAAATGGGGAGACTGAGGCCCGGGGCCCGGAAGGAACCCTGGCAGTGCCAGGCGGTGACTTGAGGGGGCTCTAGGCTCCCGTCCCCAGCACCTTCTTTAGATGAATGTATAGGAAGAAGAGCTTCCTTGTAAACGCAGCTGCCAAGCAAGCCCTCATTCCTCCCTCTGCCCCCGGCTTTTCTCTCTAAAACCGGGAACACGCAGGAGTTGGCCCCGGGAAAGGACTTCTCCAAAGACACCCAGTGAGTTTGAGATGGAGGCCACAGCCTTTCTCCTTAACTACCTGCTGCTTCTTAGGCGGAGGATACTTTGGTGGGAGGGAGAGGGACAGTCTGTCTGGCCGAGATTTGGGGTCCTGATGCTCACGGTGAGACTCCTTGGCAGCCGAGTTGACTGTCAGCGTGCTGCCCTGTATGTCTGTCCCATAAGTTCCCCCACCCTGGTGGCAGGGCGGTGGGGAGCGTGGCCAGTCCTCCCCGTCCACCAGCCTTGTTTGTGAAGGCGGAGTGAACTTCAAGGGTCACTGCTGTTGTCCTGAGTCCCAGAAGACAGCGCGCCCAGCTAAGAACCTCCTAGCTGAAGGCAAGGGTGTGCTTTGTCACCAACCCTGTCAGGCCAGATAGGTGACTGCCTCCCTCTGGGCTCCTCCCTGACGGTGCGAGTGGGCCGCTGGGTCCCTTGGGGCCACGCCCCTGGTGTCTTTCCGTTTGGGCACAGGTTTTTCTTCACCCAGTGACAGCAGCAGAGTCCAGTCCATAGGTCTGAGGCAGGAGCCCAAGCACTAAAGGCGCTTGGAGAGTTTCTCAGATGGTTTGTTTAGCCACAAATGCATGTCTTAAACGGCCGTTTGAGAGGCGATCTCCAGCGAAACGGGGTCACGGCCGGCCGGGTGAAGGTCACAAGACAGGGCCTTTCTAAAACTGTGGGAAACTGATGAGTTCTCCTTCTCGCTTTTCGGTGTCAGTTTTCATACATATAAATGTATTTTCTATCTTTTTGGGGTTTTTTTTGAGAAAAAGTTTTATTAAATTTTGGAAACAATTACGGGGCCTTTCCCGACGATGGGGATTAATGAGTTCATTTGTTGTGCTTGACTTACTGGACTTGATGCCTGTGTCTTTTCTTTGGATCTTAACTTTTTGAGAAAAATTAACATTTGAAGAAAGAAAGCCTAAAATCCCCCCAGACGGTTGTTTCTCATTGCTCTTTCCCCCGCTCCTGCCCACATGCCCACGTGCTTTTCACAGTTGAAATCCGAGTGCGGGTGCAGGTCGTGGATCTTGGTCTTTTCTCACTCGTGCTCGTGGGTTTAGAGAAGGGAGAGGACACTTCCTTCCTAAGTGCCCTGTGGTCCCTCACAGCCACTCCCTGATTTCCTCTTGTGGGGTGGGCCCGAGGGGAACCGCTGGGACTCTAATGGGCTGGAGGAGGGTGGATGACCGCTCTGTGCGTGTCTTGGGGAACCTTAGGAGCCCCCTGGAGACCCTCAGCAAGGTGCGGTGGCAGGCGGGCAGCTTGCTGGTCCGGGTGGCGCAGGCCTTCGTGTCAGGGTGAAGTTTCGGTTTGCATGTGCAGCGACAGTGGGGAGACCGAGGTCAGGCTGCTTTGACAGGTGCTATTGGAAAGATGGCGGTGGAAATATCGAAGGGCGGCGTGCGAAGGGCTTGTAGTTGGTTCACCTTGGTGTCTCTGAGAAGGTGAGACAGCTTGGGTTAGGGGGGCCTTGAGTGGACCCCCACACCGACCCTTCCGAAGGGTGGGAAGATGACGTTTTCTTCCTTCCCTTTTAACTTAACTCCTCTCAGACTTGAGTATTTTCAAGAAAAGTTTAACCTGAGCTTTGTCATTCTGGCTCTGAAACAATAGGGCACATTCACTTCCCCAAAATAAACAACCTGTAATAAAAATCTTCCAGATGTTTTCAAAGTCAGATGTATTCCAGTGGTTGTCGTCAAATGTATTCTTAGGATTCGTTCTAAAACTGTAGCGTGGCATAGCTGTTAGAATAACATGTGGAGTCCAGAGACAAACTAGGTGTTAAACAGGTGCGTCTTTTTTCAGCCGCGTTTTCTCGAGGCTTAACTCACCGTCCTGTTTGACTCCGGGCAGGTGAGCAGTTAACATGAAGTAAATAAAACCTGAACTCTATAAATAGTAAGTCTTTCTGTCCAGCCACTGTTTCCTATGCAAAGTCAGTTCCTCTCACATCCCCAGTTTGGGTTGGAGGGTTCAGAGTCAGAGTTTCTTAGGTACATTGCCTGTTATCTTTTTGCAATCCTGTGAACATCGATAGTTCAGATCTTGGGCACATGACCCTTCTCTGCTTTCTCCCAACCATATTGCTATTCAAAAAAAAAGCCAAGCTCAGATTCACAGACCCCACACCAGCTCATCCCCCGGCACCCCTGTCTTAAGATGGTCCCGTCTGCATTCCTCGTTCTAAGACCCCGTCCTCCCTCAGGGTCAGGCCCGAGCCTTCTCCTGCGATGCCGGTGACCGGTGTGAGGACGGTTTTCCTTGATTGACTCCGTTCTTTCGGTCCCTCTCCCAGCGTTCACCATCGTTGAGATGAGCTGTTGTGTGTTTGCCTTCCTCCCTTTGCCTGCCGCCCCGGATTGCAGGGACTTTCTGAGGTGCCCTCTGTGCCTTCCCGGCCCCGGGTGGATTTCCCAACAGCGGACACAGGTCAAGTGGATGTGGGAAATTTGGTTTACAAATATGCTTGATTTTGTTAACTGCGTGATCGAAGATTATCTGTCGAAGTCCATCGTCTCTTCCATCTTCTCTGTTTGGGGCGATAAGAACCTCGATACCTCACAGAGGGTGGGCGGCAGGAAACGCAGCGTTTGACTGTGTCGCGTGGTTCGGCAGCTGGTTCGCCGGCAGGGTGTGTGCCTCTGGCGCCCCGCCTTGCACGGGACGGGGGAGTTCTTGGCCTGAGACACGTAGAACCGCGTCAGGCTGGCCACGGGTCAGGAGTCTACAGGGAACAAGTCCACGGCCCTCCCGACAGTGCGGTCCAGATAGACTCACGACAACGAGCTGCTTCGGGCCAGGGGGTCTCACACAGCCTCCTTTTTGCTTCATTCCCTTCCCCGTTGTTCTGTTTTCTATTCGGGCACATTTTGAAAGTGTGAATAGCAGTTATTTGATAGAAGAGAATTAAAAGTGTTTTAATGAACACCTTAGATCTTTGAGTGGATTTGTCTGAGTGAAGGGACCACCCCGGTCATTGCGAGTCCGTGTTTTTAACATGGCAACCCGTGTGATTGTTCATTGGTAGTGACAGCGTGGGCACTGGATGGAACAGTATTTTAAAACGGGATCTATTTTTCCCTGGCCAGTTTGGCTCAGTAGTTAGAGCGTCAGCCTGTGGACCAAAGAGTCGCCAGTTGGATTCCAGTCCAGGGCACGTACCTGCGTTGTGGTTCCGTCCCGGGCCCTAGTCGGGGTCGTGCGGGAGGCAACCAATTGATGTGTCCCTCTCACATTGATGTTCCTCTCTCTCTCTCCCCCCTTTCCATTTGAAGACAAATGGAAAAACATCCTCAGGTGAGGATTAAAAAGTAAAATAAAGTAAAACTGGGTCCATTTTAGTTATAGCCTAAAAGGAAACGCAGAGTAAAACGCGGGAAGGGAGCGGTGATTAAAATGAGCAGTGCCTTCCGCGGCTGTGCGGGGGAGGGTGGTCCGTGCGGTTCGCTCATCGTCTGGCTGCGGTGCCAGCTGGTGAGGAACCGTCTTCCGATGGTGGGTGGGTGGGGGCCTCTCTGTTTCTGAGCAGCGGGCAGGCACTTAAACATCAACACCCCACAGAGTCCAGAGTTGGCAGGACTGAGCACGAGGATGTCCTGCCTACCTTGACCTTCAACTTCCCACGTTTCCTACGTGCCTTTCGGCAGGCGGTGCCTTCGAGGTGCGTACTTTAGCCCACAGCTCTTGTCTGTAGGGACGGCCATGCTGTACGTTTACTTGGAAAGAACGGACGCGCAGAAGAAGCCGGCAGGTGCAGTTTCTCAGGTGTGCTGGCTTCATGGCTTGGGAGGGACGAGATAGCCCTGTTCTCAGAGAGCCTTCTGCACAAGCTTGTTTTAAAAAAGGACCTGCCCTGGCCAGGTGGCTCAGTTGATTGGAGTATTGTCCCATACACCAAAAAGTCACAGGTTCGATTCCCGGTCAGGGCACATACCTAGGTTGCAGGTTTGATCCCCTGTTGGGGCGCGTTTAGGGGCAGTCGATCGTTGATGTTTCTCTCTCTCCCTCCGTCTCTAAAATTAATGAAAACATTGGTCCTTGGGTGAGGATTAAAATAAATAAATAAACACGTCAAATGGACCTAAAGTTTTGCCTAATCTTCGTCCCGGATTAAGAGGTGGAACAACAGAAAGCAGAGCCGCTGGGCTCCGGGAGTAGGAGGGGCGTGTTGGGCGGTCCACCCGCCTGCTGTAAGGCCCTTCCGACCCAGCCGAGGCACTGGGACGAGGACCTGTCATAGTGTCCCGAGGACTAGATAGCGTGGTCTGGGTGGAGGACACCAGAATACCAGTGACGATGAAACTGGGGCTCCCCCAGCCGCCGCATTTCTCCCCGTACTTGCATCTTTCCAGGCTTCCGTGGTTCCTCTCTGGGTTGTGGGAACAGGACAGAGGAACCCCTGAGCCCCCAGAACTTGTCCACCTGCCCTGACAATAGTCACTGTTCCTCCCTCCCTGCCCTCCCGGGCGCAGACGTGTTGTCGTTGTGGTAGTGTCCTGGAGAACGTGGGGCGCGTGGACGCAGACGTGTCGTCATGGTAGTGTCCTGGAGAACGTGGGGCGTGTGGACGCAGACGTGTCGTCATTGTGGTAGTGTCCTGGAGAACGTGGGGCGTGTGGACGCAGACGTGTCGTCACTGTGGTAGTGTCCTGGAGAACGTGGGGCATGTGGACGCAGACGTGTCGTCATTGTGGTAGTGTCCTGGAGAACGTGGGGCGCGTGGACGCAGACGTGTCGTCGTGGTAGTGTCCTGGAGAACGTGGGGCGCGTGGACGCAGACGTGTCGTCGCTGTGGTAGTGTCCTGGAGAACGTGGGGCGCGTGGACGCAGACGTGTCGTCATTGTGGTAGTGTCCTGGAGAACGTGGGGCGCGTGGACGCAGACGTGTCGTCATTGTGGTAGTGTCCTGGAGAACGTGGGGCGCGCCGAGTCTGATCTCGCTGCAGCCCTGCCGCTGGGTCTCCCGGTGCTTTCGGAAAGGGGTGTGGTGTCGGTGGGGACGGGTATGCAGCCCACCCGAATCCTCAGTGGCGCGAGGCTCTGGTGAGGTGTCAGTGACACACGGGATGAAGAAGCTCCCATCCCCGACCCGAAGGACAGAGAGGGATGCCGAGCCTGCACCGGAGCGTTGGCTCCTTTCAGGGTGATGGGCTGGTGGCCAGTTTCCGTGTACAAGGGTTGGCGCAGGCCCACGGCGGGCGCTCCCTCTGTTCCTAAGGGTTTCACACTCAGAGCTGCCTGACGCTGAACGGAGGGCATCGATGGCAGTGAAACTGCATCCCGGAGACAGGGGTGACTCCTGCCACTGTCTGCTGACTTCCCGCTGGGTCTCCCTTCCTCCAGTGTCCTGTCCCAGCTGCTCTGTGACTTGACTCAGCTCCCGGACACTGACCCTGACCTGTGCGATGGAGAGACCGCCACGCACCCTCCCGAACGGTCCCTGAGCAGACGCGAGGCCAGCGGTTCTAGTTTCTGATGGGTGTTGAGTTCTACTGTCCTTTTTCTTTTTTAAAATAAAGTGCCTTTGATTCTTTTCAGCTCCAACCTGAACATCAACGACGTCCTGGGGAACTACTCACTGACGCTGGTCGATGCCTTGGACACACTTGCAGTGAGTGTTCAGACTCGTTATTATTTTCTAATCAGGGTATTTTAGAGCATCCTGGTCAGTTTGGCTCAGCAGTTAGAGCGTCGGCCTGCGGACTGAAGGGTCTCTGGTTCGATTCCCGGTCCAGGGCATGTACCTGGGTTGCAGGTTTGATCCCCGGCCCTGGTTGCGGTCATTCAGGAGGCAACCAGTCAGCGTGTCTCTCTCACGATGATGTCTCTTTCTCTTTCTCTCCCCTCCCTCCCTTCCACTCTATCTAGAACTCAGCGGGAAAATATCCTCGGGTGAGGGTTCACAAAGGAAGAAGAGCCCTGGCCGGTTTGGCTCAGTGGTTAGAGTGTCGGCCTGCGGTCCAGAGAGACCTGGGTTCGGTTCCCGCTAATGGCGCGTATTTAGGTTGCTGGTTGGTCATGCGGGTGGCAGCCACTCGATGTGTCCCTTTCACGTCGATGTTTCTCTCTCTCTCTTCCTCTCTCTCCCTCCTGCTCTGTCTGAACAAAAGATGGAGAGGTGTCCGCGGGTGAGGATAGAAAGAAGAGGGTGTCTTGGAGTTTGTTGCTCCCAGTTCCCTCCGAGATGCACAGTCTGGAAACCTGATACTTCAAGCGTATCCCAGCTTCCATAGCTGTTGTTTCTTTCAATGACTTTCATTCCTAGAGCGAAAAAAGCATTGAAGGGGAAATGTGATTTCCCCTAAAAAAAAAAATGGAGAGGAAAGTATGATGATTTGGGGGGAATCTATTTTTCTCCCAGTTTCCCACTATTTTATTCCCTCAAAGAATCCAAAGAGCATTTCATTAGTGTTTACAGTGACCGTAAACTTTCAGGCAGTAAAGAGGTTTCAGAAGTAAAAGACGAGAACTGAACTGAGGCCCCTGACCCGCCGTCCAGCTCCGGCCCCAGAGCGCGTGGGGGTCCGGGCGGCCCTGCGCGGAGGCCCCTCTGAGCAGACCTCTGTCGCTGCTCCGCGCTCTGTGGACACTGCCCCCGGGCTCCCCCTCGGTGTTGACGGGGCACAGGGACCTTTGACCCGAGTGCAGAGCAGGTGGAAGCAGGTGCACCTCGGCAGGCCTTCCCGACCTGCGAGCACAGCTCTGGGGACTGCCCCGCACGGCGTCTGAGAGCCTCTCCCCTCCCCGCCCGGCGCGCCTTTGGCACCAGCAGACTGGCCGAAGTCTCGGCCCAGCCCTGCACGTAGTCACGTGCTTGCTTCCGGCCCCCCTGGAAGGGGCCGGCGCCGGCCAGCGTGCTGCTGGCATAGAGTCACCAGCACGTGGAAGGAGCGCGAGAGTCCTCCACACTCCACTGGGCCTCGGCTGATGGGGAGTCCGGGGTGCGGTTCTCCAGGCTGGGGTTGCCGAGCACTTGGATTTCCCGATCTCCTCCTGCATTCATTACTCCGACTTCATTGTCCACCAAGCCCGACCAGATGTGCCCACACCAGTAGTTTGGCCCAGTTGGGACTGACCTGTCGAAGACACGCTGGCTCAGCCACAAGTGTTGCTTCACGAAGTCCCAAGACTCCCACATAGCGGTGAAGCCCAGTCTGCCCCGTGTCCTCGTGCCCCCGCCGCACTCTTGCCGGACCTGTTTACCTCCAATCTAGTGCAATGTGTCAGTAACTGAATTTCTAGCCCTGGCCGGTGGCTCAGCGGTTAGCGCACTGGCCTGCCAACCAAGGGGCCGCGGGTTTGATTCCAGTCAAGGGCACGTACCTCAGTCGTGGTTCATCCCGGCCCTGGTCGGGGTCGTGCGGGAGGCAGCCAGTCAACGTGTCCCTCTCACGTCAATGTTTCCCTCTCCCTGTCTCTCCCGCCCTCTCCTTCCCACTCTATCTGAAGATAAATAGAAAAATAGCCTCGGGTGAGGATTAAAACAAAAATGAATTTCAACTAATCCAGAGTTTCCCAGCCCAGGTTCCAGGGCCTGCTCCTTGAAAGTAGCCGTCCGGCCCTGGCCAGTTTGGCTCAGCGGTTAGAGCGTCGGCCTACGGTCCGGAGAGACCTGGGTTCGGTTCCCACTAAGGGCACGTACCTCGGTTGCAGTTTGTCCCCGGCCCAGGTTGGTCGTGTGGGTGGCAGCCACTCGATGTGTTCCTTCACATCGATGTTTCTCTCTCTCTCTCCCTCCCACTCTATCTGTACAAAAAATGGAAAAATATCCTCGGGTGAGGATAAAAAACAAACAAACAAAAAAAAAAACAAAAAAAGAAAGTAGCCGTCCGTCCCCAGAGAACTTGCGGGGGTCTGCGTGTCTTCCCTCTGCCGGGAGCTGCGGCACACCCCAGTGTCTTAGGCGCTGACAAGTCCCGCAGTACAGAAACCTGTCCCCCTCCCTTGTCCGAGCGAGGCAGGCAGACCTGGCCGGCTGTCCTGACTCTGGGTCAGCTACAGCGTGGGGTGCCCGCATCCCCTCCACCTTCCACTTGACCTGAGGTCGGACACATGAACTTCTGGAAGGAAACAGACCCTCTCTGTGGTTTTCATTGTACAATATCCGGCCTCTGCTGTGCCCACACTTCCGGCCTGTTTTTCAGCTGTTACCGCCGTTGAGGTTTTCCTCTCCTCTGGTAACGGTTCGAACGGGGTCCCTCGGGTGTGCCGCAGAGCTCTGGGCTGGCCGGCTCCTGGGACTGCGTCATCTTTCACAAAGCGAGAGCTCCCAGGCCGGCGGAGAGCCGTCTGCACTGGCTGCGTGTGACAGGGAAGCAAAAGTGAGGGGCAAAGGTGCCCGGACCAATAAACCCCGGGAAGTGAGGCCCACCTGAACGACATCGCGTCTGAGGGAAATGGTTGGGTTCTCCGTGTGTGTGTGTGTGTCCTTACAATGTCAGCATGGCTCCAGGATTGCCATGAGATTTTGAACAGCGTGGGAATGTTTCGGTTCAGGTTGATCTGTAAAATGTCGTGCCCAGTCCGCCCTTCAGCTGGAGAGAGCAGGGTGGTGGGACATCATCACGTCCGCGCGTCCAAAACAGCGATCATAGTTCCAGGGTACATGTTGAAAAGGACGGAGCTGATTGGTTGGTATGTTTTGTTTGTTTTGAATGTCACTGGTTTTATGCTTTGCTCCCAAAGATAATATTTGTATTTCTCCAAGTATGTGGACATCTGGGTCACAAGCAAGAATCCTTTCCCAGATGTCTCGGTCTCCTGGGAGCCGGGCACCCAAACTGTCAGTGTATTTGAGAGCAGAGGGAAGGTCACATTTTTGTTTCTTCAGTTTGGGGATGTATTTTTGCTCATTTCCAGAATTTTAGGAACTCCGACGCCCTGTGCAAGGGAGAGTGGGTGGGGGAGGGGCGGGCGCTGATGGTTTTATCAGGACTTGGAGGACAGGGCTTGCCCTGTGTCCTCGGGGACATCCCAAGGGCTAACTGGGCTTTTCTACCACGTGCAGATGGGGTGACGTGCGCTGCGCCTGCGATCGTCCAGCCCCCACCTCCTCTCAGGCTGTGGTAATGGTTTGTGTTCCTCTTTTTAAAGATAATGGGAAATTCGTCTGAGTTCCAGAAGGCAGTCAAGTTAGTGATCGACACAGTTTCATTTGACAAAGATTCCACCGTCCAAGTCTTTGAGGCCACCATAAGGTAAAGTAGCACCGGCATGGTGGAAGGCTGCCTTTGTGTGTGCGGGAGGCGGTTGGGAGGGTCCGCCAGCCGCGCGGCCCAGGCCGAGCGCACGCAGAGCGGGCATGCACACTGGGCGCGCACACTGGCCGTGCGCATCTTCATCCGGACCAGAGCAATCGCACTGCAGAGGACTGGACAGCGGCTCTCCAGGGCCTGTCTCTCATTTCCTCCCTCACTGTTCTAGGAAAACCCCTGCAAATTCTGGAGGGAAATGAGTGCCCGTCTTTGCCCCACCCACAGAGGGCACTGGGTCCCATTGGGCCGTGATTCCTCCTGTGTGTCTCTAACACACTGGCTACATGTTCTGTACCCGGTTCTGCATCTTGCTTTTTAGCTATATATTGTGATTACTTTTCTGTTTAATTTAAACTTTTTGAAAATTCTATTTCTGCATAATATTCCAGAGGTAACATTTATTTGAAATTAAAATTATCAAAGCATTTATTCCGGAAAGGGTCACAGTCCACTTCAGATCTGGGGGGGGGGGGCACAGATCTAAGCTGGTTGCCTCCCCCTCCCAGTGGGTCATCTTTCTCATCCCTCTTTGCTAGAGGTTGGAGAATTCATCGGTTGCTTAGCAGCCAGAACAGGTTATTTCATATTTGCTGTCTTGCCCTGTTCTGTTTCTGATGAGGCTGTTTCTTCCCCGAGTGAGAGAAATGCAGAGCAGTGTATCAGGACTAGGAGGTGATGCTTGCTCTCGCTGCGGACGAGGGGGAGGCCACAGGCCTCAGCCTTTCCTTCCCTTGGGCTCACCGGGACCCTCGATGCTGGCTCCTTACACCCTTTCCCTGGTGTGGTGAACTCAGAGCGGATCGTTCCTGTCGGGGCTGGAAAGAACCCCCGGAAGTCTGGAGTCCGGGCAGGATGGAGGCTGCTCTCTTTCTGAAGGGACTGTCTGCATTTGCCGCCGACACGATCCTGTTTTTCTGTGTTCTTCCTGACATTAGGGTCCTGGGAAGCCTCCTCTCTGCCCACAGAATAATCACGGACTCCAAGCAGCCGTTCGGCGACATGACGATCAAGGACTACGATAACGAGCTGCTGCACATGGCGCACGACCTGGCCGTGCGGCTGCTGCCGGCCTTCGAGAACACCCGGACCGGGATTCCCTACCCTCGGGTAGGCGCTGGCTCGGCACGGGTGTTCGGGGAGGAGTGCGGCTGGTGTGCAAAGGGAAAGCTGCCTGTGGGCGCATTTGGCCCTCACTAGGGCGTAAACGGTTCAGTTCTTTCAGCCTTTACGAAGCACCTGCTGTGCGCCAGGCACACGGTGACATCCGACGCGACCCTCCCTCGGGGGAGTCAGGTTCCTTCCAGGTGTGGGATTTCTCTCCCCTGCTACACAATAGCGTGGGGATTTGTCTTCACTTCCGACTCGGGTGCATCTCCCCAAAGACCCTCATGTGGATGATGTAGGGGCCGGGGACGTTCATTGGGCGGCTTCCCGTGGCTGCTTCTGAGGGAAGCCTGCACAGACCGGCGCGTTTGCTGCTGATTTACGCGCAAGATCTGGACCAAGGTTTCGTCCTTGTGGCGTCTGACTTGCTGAGCCCGGAACTCCTCTGGGGACTGGGTCAGCCTTGCGAGTGAGCAGCAGAGCAAGGCCAGGGCACAGCGCTCAGCCACGGAGTCTGTCTCCTTGTGTCTCCTGCCCCCCGTCTGAGCGGAAGTGAGCTCACAGCTCACTACAAGTGTGTGAGTGAGTCACAGTGACTGCGTCTTAGTGCAGCCTGTGCTGTGACCACGGGGAGCCCTGCTGGGAAGAGGTGGCCTGGTGGCCAGCCCAACGGCGACTCCCCGAAGGCTTGCTCATCAGCAGCACGGGCCCTGAGGTTCTCTCTCTGCAGCTCCCTCCCTCGCCCGGGTGTGAAGGGGAGGCGGCCAGCTGACACCCTCAGTAAGCAGGTGGCTGCGCTCGGTGTGTGGCTGTGACCTCACCTTCTAGCCCTTGCGTTTTGCCATGAACCCTCTGTCTCTTCTGTCCCAGGTCAATCTAAAGACGGGCGTCCCTCCCGACAGCAACAACGAGACGTGCACGGCTGGAGCGGGCTCCCTCCTGGTGGAGTTCGGGATCCTGAGCCGGCTGCTGGGGGACTCCACCTTTGAGTGGGTGGCCAGGCGCGCGGTGAAGGCCCTCTGGAGCCTCCGGAGCAACGGCACCGGATTGTTAGGTGTGCTGCGCCTCCTCCAGCCGTGGGGACTGCAGGCCTTGGGCCCCGCCCCTTCCTCCCCCGTAGGGCGCCCCTCCTCCCCACCGCCTCTTCCTGGGGCCATTGCATCTGCAAACGGACCGCTGGGGGATCAGCCCTCGGTGTCCGCTGACCTGGTGTCCGCCCGACCGGCTCCCTCTGTGACTTTGCGTAGAGGGCAGGTGTGAGGTTCGCTGGGAAGAGAATGCTTCTGCTCTTTGAGGGCTCCTCCCGAACCCCGTGGCAAATCCACCTGAAATAGTCGTCAGTGAACATGCTGTAAAAGAACTGCCTCTGAGGCTGGTTCTGTCGCTTCAAAATCAGGTTTTATTTTATTTATTTATTTTTTTTTTTAATCCTCATCCGAGGACACTTTTCCATTTTTTGTATAGACAGAGTGGGAGAGAAAGAGGGAAACATCGATGCGAAAGGACATCGAGTGGCTGCCACCCACACGACCAACCAGGGCTGGGGACAAACTGCAACCGAGGTACATGCCCTTAGCGGGAACCGAACCCGGGTCTCTCCGGACCGCAGGCAGACGCTCTAACTGCTGAGCTAAACCGGCCAGGGCCCAAATCAGGTTTTAAACAGAGCCCTCTGAGCTGCCGGTAGGCTGCCTCCTCCTTTCAGAGCGTCTCGGCCTGTGGTCCTGTGTTTGGCCCTCGCTCAGCATGGGCTTGAACACTGGCCCACTCAGGTGAGAGCTTCTTGCAATAAATAATGTCAGTATGTTTTCTCTCCCTTATGATTTTCTTTTCCTTTTTTTTTTCTTTATTGATTTTAGAGAGAGGAGAAGGGAGAAGGAGAGAGAGATGGAAACATCAATGAGAGAGAACATCGATTGGCCGCCTCCTACATGCCCGCCACTGGGGATCAGGCCCACAGCCTGGGCACGTGCCCCAGCCGGGAATCAAACCAGCGACCTCTTGGTGCATGGCTGATGCTCAACCACTGAGCCACACCGGCCGGGCCTTTATGATTTTCTTAACAATTATTTCTCTAGCTTACTTTATTGTAAGAATACAATAACATACACATAACATACAAATATGTGTTAATCTGTTATTTACGTTCTCACTAAGGCTTCGGGGCCACAGCCGGTTGTCCGCAGTTAGCTTTGGTGGTTCCAGGGTTACCTGTGGGTTTGCAGCTGCAGGATGGAGGCCGCCCCTAGACCCCGCGCTGCTCTGGACCAACTTAGATTGAAAGCTCAGGTTAGACCTGCATTAGGCGGGTTTGTTTTTCCCTTTAGAATATTTGGTCAAGATGTTATTTTTAAATTTTTGAAAATTTTCACCCTGGCCGGTTTGGCTTAGCGGTTAGAGCGTCGGCCTGCGGTCCAGAGAGTCCCGGGTTCTGTTCCCGCTAAGGGCATGTACCTCGGTTGCAGTTTGTCCCCGGCCCTGGTTGGGTCGTGCAGGAGGCAGCCACTCGATGTGTCCCTTTCACATCGATGTTTCTCTCTCTCTCGTCCTCTCTCTCCCTCCCACTCTATCTGAACAAAAAATGGAAAAATGTCCTCGGGTGAGGATAAAAAAAAATAAAATAAAATAAATTTTTGAAAATTTTCAAATATGTAAAAATAGGAAGAAAATATAATGAATCGTGAGCCACTCTGTAGTCATCGTTCATCTTCAGTGATTTTCAGCGTTTTGCTAACTCGAGGTGTTATTTAAAAAGGGGTTTTTTGCCCTGGCCAGTTTTGCTCAGCAGTTAGAGCATCAGCCCTCGGACCAATGGGTCGTGGGTTTGATTCCAGTCAAGGGCACGCACCTCAGTTGCGGTTCGTCCCCGGCCCTGGTCTGGGTTGAACAGGAGGCAACCAGTCGATGTCTCTCTCTCTCTCCCTCCCTCCTTTCCACTCTATCTAAAAAAAAGTCAATGGAAAAATATCTTCAGGTGAGGACAACAAAAATAAATGAAATAGCCTTGGCCAGTTTTGCTCAGTGGTTAGAGCGTCAGCCCACGGACAAGAGAGACCCAGGTTTGGTTCCCGCTAAGGGCATGTACCCTGGTTGTGGTGTTTCCCCGGCCCTGGTTGGGGTCGTGTGGGTGGCAACCAGTCGATGTGTCTCTCTCACATTGATGTGTCTCTCTCTTCCTCTCTCCTTCCCGCTCTATCTAAAGATAAATGCAGGAAGTTCCTTGGGTGAGGATAAAAATAAAATAAATGAATGAATACATAACAATGGGTCTTTCCCTCACAGAAGTATCTGACATTGGAAACTTTTTTGTCACTGGGAGGTGACTTGATGGGTTTTCCTGGAGCCATTCAGCACTGCTTTTCAGAAGCAAGCTTCGGTCATTCCTCACGTTTTTCAACGTATGTACAAATCAAGAGCATTTAACAGCAGCCGAGGTTTGAGAAGCCAGCCAGCTTGCCACCCCATCGTCACTAAATGGTTGGCCGGCGTCACTCCAAGTTGTCAACCTTCACATTTCCCACAGGCCCTGTCAGCCCGGCATGTGCACCTCCGTGTACTTGTGAATCACTGTGCACATCTCTAATCTGCCCTCGTTTGGCGAGTCTTTGGTATCTTGTTTTCAAAGCTACTGTCTTTAAAGTCTACACGATAGTCCACTCGCTGTTCTGACGGACACTTGGGTTCATTTTGTTTTCTTCCGTTTCAGATAATGCAAACTAGAGTTTGTAATTCTACGACGAACAATAATAATGCTTTTCCTGAAAAACGTTTTTAGGACAAATCCCCAGGAGAGGCAGTATTGAGTCAAAACTCAACCCTCGGCTCTGAACTGCGTCGTCCACCTGGAAAAGCGAAGGGGCAGCCCCGCTGTCCTCTAGCGTTAAATGTCTCCCCCACATTTGCGTCAGTGGTCGAACCCTCTGTGTTCGGAAAGCCGTTCGGCTGTCTGAGCGGCTGTGAGGACGGACAGCATGTGAGGGCCCCCTTCCCTGCCTGCTGAGGGCCGAGGTGCTGGGCCCAGGAGGAGGCCTGGCCTCCCCCACAGGTGGGACCTGACACGCCCACTCTGTCTGTCTCCACAGGCAACGTGGTCAACATCCAGACGGGCCATTGGGTTGGGAAGCAGAGTGGCCTGGGTGCGGGCCTGGACTCCTTCTATGAATACCTCTTGAAATCGTACATCCTCTTTGGAGAGAAAGAAGACCTGGACATGTTCAATGCTGCCTACCGGAGTATCCAGAACTACTTGCGAAGAGGGTACGCCTCCTACGTCTCCCCTGGGCCCTGGGAAGCAAGCAGAATGCAGTCCTGTTCCTCAGCACAACTCACAGGGTCTGATGGTCTCCGCCCTCGGCTGTTGTCTGTCAGTCATTCGGGGTGAAGAGGTGTATGAGCTGTCTACTGCTGCATCACAAGTCACCCCGAAACTCAGTGCTTGCAATAGTAGACAGCAGCTCCCACAGTGTGTGAGGGTCACGAGCCAGGAGCAGCTGGGCTGTCCAGGTCTCAGGAGGTTGTCCCCAAGCTATTGTAGGGGCTGCACCTCGTCAAGGCCCGAGGGGCTGGAGGGTCCACTTCTAGGTGCACTCGTGGGGCGATTCCCTGCTGGCTGTTGGCTCAGGTCTCGGCTCCTCGGGCCTCCTGTGGCAGCTCGTGGCACTTCCTGTTGCGAGAGACCCAGTGGAAGCCACGTGCTCTCAGGACGGACTCTCAGAACGCCAGACCAGCCCTGCCTGGGTCTTGGCCACACAGACAGACCTGGTGCGGCGTGGTGGGGGCTGCACAGGGCCGGGTCCCTGGGGACCACGTGGAACCTGGTTCCCACAGAGCAGAGCCCTGTGTCTGTCTGGCTGCAGCTAGAGCTGAAATGCAGGCAGCTGTTGAGTTATTTTGGTTCTTTACTTTCCAAACAATTGGTAGGATTGGTCCGTGCGCCTGCCGAGAGCAGGGACGGCCCCACGCCGCCCCGTCGGAGGAAGCGGTGCCGCTTATTGCCCCTCAGTGTGCCTTCAGTACGGCAGCTACAGCGGCTTCTGCCGATGTCACCTCGCTCCCCGGCCCTTCTCGGTGGCTGCCGGGCTTCCCGTGTGGCAGGATCTTTCTTGGACCTATTTCCACATTAGCTGTCGTGGGAGGGGTGTGTTCCATCAACAGGCTGTTTGCCGGAGCTCAGTCATCTTACTTTTCTTTATTATTATTGATTCTTAGAGAGGGAGGAAGGGAGAGAGAAACATCGATGTGAGAGAGGGACATCGATCAGTTGCACGCACCCCGACCGAGGATAGAACCTGCAACCTAGGTGTGTGCCCTGACCGGAAATCGCACCCACGACCTTCTGGTTCACGGGACAAGCTCCAATCAACTGAGCCGCACCGGCCAGGGCAGTCGTTTTTACTTTTTCAAGCCCCGAACTAAACCGAGTAGCAGTCCCTTGAGTGTCTTGCTCTGCTGCACCCTGCAGGCCCCTGGTTAGGACCTCACTGGAGAAGAGACTTTCTTTTTTATACAGAAATAGCCAGGCTTCCCTACTCGGGCCAAATCCCTTGTAGACCGTGCTGTGTACCACCTTCCGTGGCGCGGCCCTGCCCTTACACCTGAGCGTCACGTAGACCGTGCTGTGTACCACCTTCCGTGGCGCGGCCCTGCCCTTACACCTGAGCGTCACGTAGACCGTGCTGTGTACCACCTTCCGTGGCGCGGCCCTGTCCTTACACCTGAGCGTCACGTAGACCGTGCTGTGTACCACCTTCCGTGGCGCGGCCCTGCCCTTACACCTGAGCGTCACGTAGACCGTGCTGTGTACCACCTTCCGTGGCGCGGCCCTGCCCTTACACCTGAGCGTCACGTAGACCGTGCTGTGTACCACCTTCCGTGGCGCGGCCCTGCCCTTACACCTGAGCGTCACGTAGACCGTGCTGTGTACCACCTTCCGTGGCGCGGCCCTGTCCTTACACCTGAGCGTCACGTAGACCGTGCTGTGTACCACCTTCCGTGGCGCGGCCCTGTCCTTACACCTGAGCGTCACGTAGACCGTGCTGTGTACCACCTTCCGTGGCGCGGCCCTGTCCTTACACCTGAGCGTCACGTAGACCGTGCTGTGTACCACCTTCCGTGGCGCGGCCCTGTCCTTACACCTGAGCGTCACGTAGACCGTGCTGTGTACCACCTTCTGTGGCGTGGCCCTGCCCTTACACCTGAGCGTCATGTAGACCGTGCTGTGTACCACCTTCCGTGGCGTGGCCCTGTCAGTGCTCTGATCTGCCCCGACACCGGAAGCGTTGGCTTGTGCGGGGTGCCAGCATCCACGGGTAGGGGCAGTCTGTCTCCAAGGCCTAGAGGAGGAGGGAGGAGGAATGTTAGGGTTGGCGCCATTCAGGTCAGGCTGCCGGGCGCTGTGGGGTGGAGCCCAGCCCTGGCCACAGTCATCTCCTCACCTTGCTGCTCTGCTCGGCCGTAGGCGGGAAGCCTGCAACGAGGGCGAAGGGGACCCCCCGCTCTACGTCAACGTGGACATGTTCAGCGGGCGGCTGGTGAACACGTGGATCGACTCCCTGCAGGCCTTCTTCCCCGGGCTGCAGGTACTTCGCCCGCGTCGCTGGGGAAGCGCACGGGGGCTTTGCTCTCTCAGACACCCGAGCCCCCCCGGCTCCTTCGGATTCGGAGGGTCAGTGGCACAATGCGTCTCGATTGCCCTGTCGGTGGACTTAGTGCCAGAATGTGGGACAGCCACAGATAGGCGCAGCACTGTGCCTGGAAAGTGACCGCGGGTCACTTAGGATGCTCCCTCTCAGCTGTGTCTTGTTCGTGAGCACAGTGAACCCCTGTCCGGTGCTGTCCACACCCAGCTGGCACCGATGGCCCCGTAGGGAGGGCATCTCTTGTTCCGAGTTGTACTTTGGGGTTGGTCTCCAACCCGGGGGGGTGGGGGGAATGGGTCGGTGGAGGGAGAGCCCAGGCCCTTCATGTCACCTTGTCACTGTGGGGAAGCATCTTCCTGGTGGGTTGTGGCCCCACAGGTCCTGGCAGGCCATGTGGAAGACGGTGGGTTGTGGCCCCACAGGTCCTGACAGGGGATGTGGAAGATGGTGGGTTGTGGCCCCACAGGTCCTGGCAGGGATGTGGAAGACGGTGGGTTGTGGCCCCACAGGTCCTCACAGGGGATGTGGAAGACGGTGGGTTGTGGCCCCACAGGTCCTGGCAGGGATGTGGAAGACGGTGGGTTGTGGCCCCACAGGTCCTGGCAGGGGATGTGGAAGACGCCATCTGCCTGCATGCCTTCTACTACGCCATCTGGAAGCGGTATGGGGCCCTCCCAGAGCGGTACAACTGGCAGCTGCAGGCCCCCGACGTGCTCTTCTACCCGCTGAGGCCCGAGCTGGTGGAGTCCACGTACCTCCTCTACCAGGTGCTGAGCCTGTTCGACTCGGGCTGGACTTCGGCACCGGGCGGCCGGTTCTGGGTGAACTCGGGCTGGTCGGTGGAGGGCTGTGTGGTGTCGTGTCTTCTCTGCGGGGCTCACTTCTCGCATCTTTAGATGATCGGGATTGATTTGGGACCAGTGTTTGCCAAATTCACTTAACCCCTTTGGGGGTACAGTTTATGGACTGTGGAACCCAGTCTATGTGATAATTATTCAGACCAAAAAGTTCTTTTTCTTGCTTGTAAAAGAAAGTCTGGGATTCATCTGAACACCTATTTTTGTTTAATGCTTAAAGCATGGTGTTCGTTTTTGTGGGAACTCTTTCTTTTTTCCTTTATTGCTTTGGAGAGAGAGGGAGGCAGAGGGGGAGAGAGAAACATCGATGAGAGAGAACATCAACTGGCCCCCCCGCATGCCCCCCACTGGGGATCGGGCCCACAACCTGGGCGTGGGCTCTGGGTGGGAATCCCACCAGCGACCTCTTGTGCTTGGGTCGATGCTCAAGCACGGAGCCACACCGGCGGGCTGTGGGAACACTCGTGCCGTAGGGAATGTCCCCACCTGTGACGTCTTCTCCCCGACGGCTGAGGCCGACGTTCACTCTGCCTGTCCTGCAGACACACTGAGCGTCCTCACGCTTCTCTCCGAGCCCCTGGCCTGCGGGCGGCGGGACCTGGCACAGCCCTCCCGAGGGCAGGCCCCACGGGGCACCTGACTCGCTCTGCAGGAGTTAGTGCTGTGCTCAAGAGCCAGGCGGCAGCGCGGAGGGGAGGAAGCCAGTGAGTGACAGTGCTGCTGCCTCGTTTAGCTCCCTCTCGGAAGAGGGAGCGGTGGCCTCCAGCTCGCCTCCCCACGCGCTCTGAGGATGACACGTCCGGTGGGCTGAGCTCCCGGAGGCTCAGGCCTGCTGCGGGGTTCCCTTTCTGTCCCTGCCTGTCCTCGGCTGCCTCCTCCCGGCCTTGCCTCCGAGGCCCCCTGCGCTCAGCGACAGCCGCAGTCGCCCTTCAGTTCTTTGCTTTTGCTGCTGCAGGTGGGCGCTAGGCATGAATTAACGATGACCCCCCAACTGTTAAACGATTTGTGGGGTGACATCTTCCCAGAGAATTTTTCCTAACGAAACCACTTCTGAGCGAGTGACAGCATAGTGCACAGCCCCGGACTGAGCTCGGCGGCGACGGAGAGGCAGGTGCAGCCTCCTTGAGGGACCTGTGGGCGCTGCGGGGACCGGCAAGCCCCTGCCTCCCTGGGCGGTCCTTTCTGGAGAGTTCTGAGGCAAGGCAGAAACGGGATCTGCTCAGCGACAGCGTTTCTGGTCGGGCGGGGCTCAGGAAGGCCGGAGCGGGTGTGGCCGCCCAGGACCAGGCTCCTCAGTCCTGGAACCTTGTGACCCTCCGGACAAAGCGGGCCTTTGGCAGTGACTCCTGCTCAGAAGTCCCCGCAGCCCCGAGGTTCGCTGGCGGCACGGCCCCCAGGCCCTGCCGGATCACACCCTCGTTCTCTCTAGGCCACCAAGAACCCCTTCTACCTCCACGTGGGAATGGACATCCTGCAGAGTCTGGAAAAGTACACGAAAGTCAAGTTAGTGCTCTAAGTTCCTCCTTCTTCCGTGGCCCCTTGGGACTTGCCTGGTTCTGGGGAAGCGTTACTTTCTCTTGCACTTTCATTTCTGGGCAGGTCACTAATGTTGATTTTGTAGGGAAGTTGCTTCCTTTTTGTGTGATAGAACCTGTCCGTTATAATGGGAATGGCTTTTATCTTCTCACCGTTTTTTGTTGTTTGTTTGTTTTTTAATTTTTTTTTTTATCCTCACCTGAGGACATTTTTTGCATTTATCTTCAGATAGAGCGAGAGGGAGGCAGAGAGAGAGAGAAACACCAATGTGACAGATACATCGACTGGTTGCCACCCACACGACCAACCAGGGCTGGGGACAAACTGCAACCAAGGTACGTGCCCTTAGCGGGAACCGAACCCGGGTCTCTCTGGTCCGCGGGCTGATGCTTAAACCATTGAGCCAAACTGGCCAGGGCTTTTCACTGTTTTTTTGTCTGTAAGGTTCTGGCAGACTGTGTGCATTCTTCTTTTTTTTTGTTTTTCTGTTACAGATGTTTCTCCTTTTTCCCCTCATTGACACCCTCCTCCCCATCCCCCTCACCCCATCCCCAGCTTTGTTGTCTATGTCATCAGTTATGTATACATGCATATAAGTTCTGTGGTTTATCCCTTCCCTCCCCCTGCATTCTTTTTAAATAACTTATTTCCCCTAGTTATACAAATAAAACATACACTAAAAAGTTTGGGGAGTACAGAAAGTCGAGTAGACTGTCCAAGTGCAGAGAGGAGCTCAGCCAGCCTTCGAGTCTGTACACTTGTAATTGTTTCATACAGTTATACCTAATGTGTGTGCACGTGTACATAGAAGGAACTATTTCGGTTTGTGGCTGGCTTTGCCCACCTCACGGTGGTTCAGAGGTGTTTTCTTACAAGATACCGTGTTAGACGATCCAAGGGACACGTCAGTTCTATAAATATCAGGGCCAAAAGTGTCAGTCAGTCCTGCATTTGTCTCCAGGCATTTCCTGGTGTCATTTACCCTTTTGGCAAACACTTGGCACACCCCCCATCCCCACCCCCACCACTCACTTGGTGATTTAGCCGCCAAATCAATTTTTAAATGAATTTGCAGGCGGTCTAGGCTAAAAACAGCACTTGAACCTAACATAATTTGTCCTATGGCCCTGGCCGGTTTGGCTCAGCGCTTGGAGCATTGGCCTGCGGACCAGAGAGTCCTGGGTTCGGTTCCCGCTAGGGCACATACCAAAAAAAAAATGTGTCCTATGGCATTCGATAATCCAGTTGATTATTCTGTTAATAGACTCCTGCTTCTTATGAGCGCGCATGTGCGAAGGAGCGGAGGCAGGCTGACCGCAGTTGTTTTGCAGGTGTGGGTACGCCACGCTGCACCACGTCATTGACAAGTCCAAGGAGGACCGGATGGAGAGCTTCTTCCTCAGCGAGACCTGCAAGTACCTGTACCTGGTACGTGGTGCGAGGCTCGCCCAGGGTGTGTGTCCTGCTGTGGGCTGGCCCAGGACATCACAGGCCCCTCCACGGTTCTGAGCTCGGTGGGGAGGGGCACGGCCAGGTGGACAGAGATGCAAGATTGCAGACTGTGTGACATGTGGGACCGGTCCGTGGAGGGCCCGCGTGGGTGTGGTGGTCGGGAGGCTTCCCTGACGACGAGAGCAGTGTCCATGGGTTGTACTTCTCTGCATGTGTGCTCTCAACCATGCAAACATTCTTGTGTGTGTGGAGAGGCAGGATGTCTGCACCTGGAGAAAGCCAGGGTCACGGTCACGGAGGGGCCATGGTCAACGTTCCCTGTGAGTCTGCACAGTCAGGTGACTTGCCTCGGTTTCTCGGGGTGCCTGGCAGAGCGGAGGCCTGACCCAATCCTGACTCCTTCCCCAAGCGCTTCCACTTACACGCTGCCACGTGCACGCGTGGTGTCTGTGTGCACGCGCACGCAGCCACATGCCGGTCCCATGCTCTGGCTTCTGGCGCCACTTTCCATAGGAGACCGCAGAGGACGCGTCCCCGGCCGCCCCGTGGTCTGGCCAGTGGGAGGTCGGCGGTCCTGCCCCACCCCCCGTGCCCACGTCCCCTCGCCCAGCACAGGTGGTGACAGGCTGGCCTGGGTGGCAGCCTGTGTGGGGATGTTTGAAGATGGGTCTGGTGTGAGTGAGGAGACCCCTGGGGTCTAGGAGGAAGGACCAGGGTCAGGGGAGGGAGCTGGGCCTACCCTGTCTCCCTGTTCACTGGGTCTCATTTTCCCTCACTTGTACCTGAGGTGACGGTAAGGTGTCTTCCAGCTGAGGTTTCTAAGTGTCCCTCAGTCAGCACTTACTGGATGCCTGCCTCCCCCCGCTGGCCCAGCCCACCCTGGGCTTCGGCCACCCCTCCCCCTGCGCCACCCTTGGCAGGAAGGACACCTGCGCGCCGTGTCCTTCAGGAATGAGCTGGAAGGTGCCCACCTGCTGGGTCACTGAGCAGGATGAAACGCCCGCCTCTGTCCTCCAGCACCTCCAGTGTGTGCGGTGCAGTAGCTCTAGAGTTCCTGCAGGAGAACTGGGGAGCGTGTGGGGGTCACCCAGGGGCCCCCACAGACTGCCCAAGTTTGGGTCTTAGTCTTGAGCCTTGTGAATCTCTAGGTTGGGGTGGAGGGACATCGGAGTTCAAGCAAAATTGGTGATTCAGACTTGCAGCCCATTTGGGAAGCACGGCTGTTCACTGATGCCCCCCACCCGCTTGTCCCTGAGGCCAGAGGGCCGAGCACCGCCCCTTCCCAGGGCTCTGCCACACCCCCCAGGGAGTTCCAGCGCCACAGTTACCACTTGTTTCTTTCTGCCTTCTTCCTTCCCACCAGCTGTTTGACGAGGAGAATCCAGTGCACAAGTCCGGAACCAGGTTCATGTTTACGACCGAGGGACACATTGTGTCTGTGGACGAGCACCTCCGGGAGTCCCCGTGGAAGGAGCTCTTTCCTAACGAGCGGGGGAACGAAGGGGGGAAGTCTGTCCACAGACCCAAGTCTCACGACTTGAAAGTCATCAACTCCAGCTCCAACGTAAGTTGCTTTTTCCAGGGAGGGTTGCCTATGGATGGAGAGAAAATACTACTAATTGATTACTTGACACACTCAGATTGGGTCATCTGAGAAGTTTCACGAAGGCCGTTGACGTGGGTGTCCTCGGGGTGTGGCGCTGTCGCTCCCGGCTGGGCAGAGGTGCGGGGGGGTGGCCTCTGGAGCTGTGAGCTGGCTGCAGTGTCCTTGCAGGGAAGAGCCCGGAGAGTGAGCCTCCTCCTTCTCTGACCTGCTGGACCAGAGGGCAAGGGAAGCTGTTAGGGAACCCAGCAGGTCGGCTTGGGCCGGAGCAGGTGGACAGGGTGGCGTCGTCCAAGGGCAGATCCCCCAGCGGAGAGGGAAGAAGCAGCCAGCAGTCACCCCACTTTGTGAAGAGGCCCTGGAAGGGCAGCCGGGCCTGGCTTCGCTGCCAGCGGCTCCGCCCAGCAGGCGGTCCCTGGACCAGCGGGCAGATGCGGAACCGGCCCTGGGGCTGGGGACGTGGACCACAGATCAGTTGAAATAGCAGACCTTATTTTCCCATGATGCTCTGGGTGCCGACTCCTTGGAGAAGCCACAGTGGCAGAGATTCACTACCACCTACCAAACTCCAAGGGGGGGCTTCCTGTCACCCCGACTCTGCTTCAGGGCTTTCCGGTCTTGACCATCAGCCTGTGAACTAAAGTGAGAGGTCAGAGCAGAGAGGAGTCCCCCAAATTTCCCGGTTCAGGTCACAGCAGAGCCATGTGGCGGAGCCAGGGTTTCAACGGAAAATGACGCTCATGTGATAGACATGATTCCGACACACCAGGCACTGGGGATGGGCGATCGAGGGCCCGGGTTCTGGGTAGTCATGGCCTAGCGGGCACACGCTCCTCCCGGGAGTGTGCGAGGAGCTGGCTTTTCTGCGTGTCCGAGGGAGGAGGCCTTCCAGGGTGGGACCAGCGGAGGACCCGCCACCTCCAGGGTGAGGAGCAGGCGAGGTGAGCTCCAGCTCAGGGAGTGGGGACGTGTTCCTTTGGGGAGGAGCCTGTGACGGCGTCTGTGGAAACCCTCTAGTAACCTGTTTGGTTCTCAAAGTTGCTCTCCTTTGAGGGGAGAAAAAAGGCCTTTAATTACAAACAAACAAAAATAGCACTCTTAAGCATTTAGGTTTTAGCTGGGGATCAGAAGAACCATAAACTCAAAAAACAAACAGTATTTCCAAAGAGCGAAAGCGTTTTGTGCAGTTCTGGGTGGATGAGGGACCAGACACAGCTTGAAGTCCCGGCCACGGTGAGACACGTGGGTGTCGGCCTCCCTGGGTCCCCACCTCTTCCCTTGGGAGGTGGGGTATTTTTTTTTTTTAATCCTCAACCAAGGATATTTTTCCACTTTTGTTCAGATAGAGTGGGAGAGAGAGAGAGAAACATCAAAGTGAGAGAGGCACATCGACTGGCTGCCTCCCGCACAACCCGCGCCAGGGCCGGGGCCGAACCCCACCTGAGGCACGTGCCCTTGACCGGAATCAAACCTGCAACTCATTGGTCCGCCGGCCGACACTCCAATCGCTGCACCAAACCGGCCGGAGCGAAGTGGGGCATTTTGCTACATCGCTGCTCCTCAGCTGGCTGCTGCTCCCCGGGGGACAATGGGCAGTGTCTGGAGACAATTTCAGTTGTCACAACTGGGGGTGGGGGTGAGGTCATCTCATGGTCAGGGATGCTACTTACAGGACACCCCAAGTGTCCACAGTGTGTGGCTGAGAGATCAGGTCATCCAGCCACATTTCCTGAGGCTCAACCCATGGATTTTTAACTCGAAATTCCCACTGCCCCTCACTTCTTTCTCTCCAGTGCAATCGCGTCCCTGACGAGAGGAGGTTCTCCCTGCCCTTAAAGAGCGTCTACATGCGACAGATCGACCAGATGGTCGGCCTGATTTGATCTGCACAGCTCTGTGGGCCCCAGCTGAACCCGGACCAAACAGCCGAGCCCAGGCCCCGCCTAGGGAGGAGGAGGATGGGAGCCTGGCCCTCACAGTGCCGTGGGAATTCCGCCCAGCTCCTCACCCACATCTGCTAGAATCTTACTTTAGTGTTTCTCTTCTGTTCAATAAAAGGCCCTATTTTTCTGAAGGATGTAACTTGAAGTGAGAAGGCCCATAGAAGCTCGCTTCTTGCAGATGGATCTTCATAGCTTCAGGCTGTGGGTCTGAAGCCTCCTCCCTTCACCTTCACCGGCACCGGCACCAGCACCGGCCGTGACTGCAGTATTGTCACCTCTGTGAGCAGCTTGTGAATGGAGTTTCTGTGCAAAGGGCCTGGGGTTCACTTGGCATTCCTACTGATTGCATTTTGTCATCCTTTCTCTCTCTCGTGGGACATTTGGGCTCCCTCCCAGATGTCCGCCCATGATTTTGGATCACATGGGGGAAAGTCATCCAGTTCTCATTTGCGCCCCAAGTAACCTTCACAGTATTATCAGTTATTTGCTTACGAATAGTGGTGTCGCCTGACGTCTAACAGGTAGCCTCCTAAGTCGTCACACTGTCAGAGCCTGACAGGCGGATCTTTTGGATGTATTTACATTTATTTTGAACTTACCTGAGGAACTCGTGTGGTTCCAGAGCCGGGTGCCTTTCGGGAAGAGAAAAATACCTGAGGTGTCTGCGCTTCCACCTGCCCGTGTCTACTAGCCACGGACTCTCCGTTCCGGCCACGCGTGGCTTGGAACGGGGTGTGTTTTTGCTTCCTGTGTCTAGTGCCAATTGACCAAGTCAGGGAAAGAGGTGAGCAGAGGACTTGCTAGCACACTTGAGCCGTTTCTCTGTCCTACAGCTTTAGATTCGTGCCTTACGTGATTGTTTGGGCCACGGGCTGTCACTGCTGCTGTGCTCTGGACGGGCTTGTTTCGTATGGCCACAGGGCGGGACCACAGCGACGGGGTAGGAGGGGTGTGTGTTAGGGAGATACTGCAAATTTCTTGGCCAGTCATTGCCTTTCAACCTGGTATGTTAAGCAAGTTTTAGAAGAAGAAGCTTGTGCTAAACCGCCTTCTTTTTTATTTCCTTATTTCCTGAGCCAGAACGGAAGTCTCTGTCTTTGAGTGTGTGCTGAGCGCGCAGGGTGGCTGCGAACCCTCCCCTGGCTTCCGTGGAACCTCACGGGTTGACATGAATCCCGGTGGAGAGGGTGGGACGTCTGTCACCTCCAAACTGTCCTACCGGGTCGCTCAGGTGCTCGCACACTTCGGGTTGGTTCACAGAAGCAGCACAGCGTAGCCTCGGCACCCATCAACGGGGGCATGTCACTCCTGGACGTGCGTGTCGCTGTGTTTTAAAAGAGGTGCAGTTCCTGCCCTGGCTGGTTTGGCTCAGCGGTTAGAGCGTCGGCCCGTGGACCGGAGAGTCCGGGTTTGGTTCCCGATGGGGGCATGTACCTCGGTGGCCATTCGTCCCCAGCCCCGGTTGGAGTTGGTGTCTCACATCGATGTTTCTCTCTCTCTCTCTGTCTTCCTCCCTCTCTCCTGTTCTGTCTGAAGATAAATGCAAAAAAAAGTCCTCAGGTGAAAATAAAAAAAGAGAGAGAGATGCACAATCCCGCTCCCGCAGGCCTTTAAGGGGGTTTTCCGGCAGCGACTGTGCCCCGCCTTCGACATTCACTGTGCAGGTCGTTTTAAAGTAGAGGAGCAAATGCCCCTGTTTTCCTTTGCTTCTTCATTTCAGAAGCATTCTGCCCATCAAATTGTCTCATCCACCGAATACAAAGCTTCCTATATTTTAAATGTTCTCATTGACTCGGTAAAACCAAAATGTCCCCTTTTAGACACACACGTCGCAGGCAGAGCGCCCTGCACCTTCTCCCCGGCGGAACCGAGGCGCCTCTCATGACCCATTTGGGAGAACGGGTCACGTCAGACAGGAGAGCCCTGGCCCTTCCCCCTAGGGGCTCCCGGGGGCACGAGACCTTCTGTAGGAAGTCCACGCCCTCTTGGCTCTGGGCACCGGACTTGTGCCAGGGGGAGCGGGTAGGGCACGCCCGGCCTGGGGGTTGCAAGGCAGACCCCACCGTCTAGGGCGACCCGTGGGGCTCGATGCAGAGGGCTGCGGGCTGTCAGCGGAGCGCGGGGCTGCGTGTCTTCGGTTTGGAAGTGGGGTTGCAGCAGCTGCAGTAGCCGCCCCGTAGGTCTCAGCTGCGCCCGCGGCTCTGTGCTGGGACTCGGGAGGCGCCGGGGTCGGCAGCACTGGAGACACCCACCCCGCTCGTGGGCCCTCGTGGAGCTGGCGTGGCAGGCGGCGCTGGTCAGCACGAGGGCCGGGGTTTGGGAGAACCGCTGGGAAGGCTGCCTTCCAGTTTGGCCCTCGGAGGCCGGGTCTCCCCGCCAAGGGCGGGGCCGGCACAGGCGGCCTCGCCATAGATGGTGTGGCAGGAAAGCCACTTCCTGGGACGCGGTGGCAGAGGGAGTGTTGGCCTCAGAGAAGCCCGCTGTGTCATCGCTTCTTCCTTCTGCGGAACCGGCCCTGTGCAGAGGCCGCCTGAACCTGGGCGGGCGCGGGCTGCTGGCATCCCCTGGGCACTTTGCACGGGGTGGTGTCTGTAGCGACTTAAGGACCGTCCCGTGGCCCGGCCGGGCAAGGGCCGGTGTGCAGCCAGGGCCCGAGCCTGCCGCCCGCCCTCCCCCGCTCCGTCTTCAGCTCAGTTTACTGGGGGGGTCCGCTGTCCTTTCTCTATGATGCTCTACAGGTCACACTGGCCCGGGCCAGTCAGCCATCCCGAGCCCAGCTGCCAGCCCGGCCTCCCCAGCAGAGCAGGGCTTCTGTGGAAGTCAGGAGAGCGGGGCGGGGCCGGATTGGCAGGGCCCAGGGCCAGTTCCCACTTGACCGGGTGTGAATCGGGACATCGTGTCGTTCCTGTGGACTTCCCGACTCGTCCCCCCTCCTCAGAGGCAGAGAAATATTTTTAAAGGTATTTTGTCGTAGTTTTAAATAGCAAAACACAAGCTACATTTTTATTTATTATGCACAAGAAAGGTAAATCTGTTTGTTTTTTTTTTTAAAGTCTAGAGTTGGGAACTCTGGAAAACCTATGGAGATCACACACGCTTCTCTGTAATGATACGCTTTGCAACTAGAGATGCTATTTTCTGTCAGATCTGTAAATAAGAAATGTATTTAAATTAAAAGGGAGCTTTTTGTAAAAGGACCAAATGTTCTTTTATAACTGTACTAAGAAATATCTTGCTCTTTGAAGTTTATGAGGATTTTTATGAGCAGTTTTTATTAAAAGGTTCTTTTCCTCAGTTGCCATCCTGTGTCTCCTTCCGCCCCCACAGCCTGCACGCGCCGGCCGGGGTCTGTAAAGGACGCTGCGAAACGGGGGGGCAGCCAGGCCCCGAGTGCTCCCAGGGGGCATCTGTCACCTTCACTAACTGTCCTTCACATATGATGCAAGTCCCTTCCGATGACCTTTGCTCCCTCCTCTCCACACCAGCCCCCTTCTCCCAGGACTGGCTGGCTGTCCGTTCCTGTCGCCATTATCGGGCCTGCCCAGTCACAGAGCCGGTGTCTGTCGCTGTCGTCGTCGGCGTGCCTCCTGCCCCACAGGGAAGAGCTGATGGCGCTGGGCGTGGGGGCACCGCCCAGGGGCATCTCGGGGAGGGTGACTCGGAGACCGCTGATCTGCCCGTGACGTCTTGGTGGCCCAGCTCTGTGTCATAGGCCATCCTGATGAGTCTTACCTGGATGCCAGGAGGGCAGGGAGAGCCCGAGGCTGGGGGCACGTGGCTGATGCCGAAGCACGGCCACGGGAGGCGTGGTGGCTGTGTCCGAGGTCCCGTGGGCTGTACCCCCTTGACAAGAAGGAGCAGGCGCAATACGCTGCCAGGGCGGCTGAAGGGCCATCGGCCCCTCGCCCTGGGGCCTCTCCGCGGGGCCAAGCCTGCCGGTGCAGCGAGTGGCCCGGAGCAGCCCGTGCTGACACAGGAGGGCATGGGGTTGAGAGGGGGGACTCGACCCCCCCCCTCCCGCAGCCCTGGCCGCACCCTGAGCTCTGTGCCAAGGCAGACGATCCCGCCGGGCCTGTCCCCGTCTGTTCCTGGGAGGACAGTATCCACGGGGCGAACGGAGCGGGCGATCCGTGTCAAGTGCTGAAGACGGCACCTGGCACAGCCCCGTGCGTGTCCCAGTCCCGGCGCCGGTGGGCAGTGCCAGGGTGAGCCCGGTCTTCACACGGGACCGAGGCAGAATGAGGGGGGCCGATGGCACGGGGCCTGGGTGCGTGCCCAGGTCAGGTTTTCGAGTTCCGTTTCCTCGTGTGTGGGGGTACAGCACCCTGACACTCCAGCCCTGGTCAGGGCGAAGCGAGCAGCCTGGGTGTGGTAGGCTCTGGCTCCTGAAGTCTTGACGCTCATCTCTTTTTTTTTAAAAAAAAGGTATCTTTCCATTTATCTTCAGATAGAGTGGGAGAGAAAGAGAGAGAAACATCGATGTGAGAGGGACACACCGACTGGCTGCCCCCTACACAAGCAACCGAGGTACGTCCCCTTGACCAGAATCAAACCCGCCACTTGGTCCGCAGGCCGATGCTTTAACCGCTGAGCCCAACTGGCCCGGGCTCATCTCTTCTCTTTACATTTAATCAGAGAGCTGGCTCGTCTCTGTCTCAGGAATCCAGACGGTGAGATGCCTGTGCCCCAGCACCCCCGGGGGGCCAGGGCCTGGCACAGCGGCTCCTCCCTGGCACACAGAATGAATGGTGCCCCCACGTGGGGGGTGTGTGTGTGTGTGCAGCTTAAAACCTACCACATTTGCCCTGGCCAGTTTGGCTCAGTGGTTAGAGCATCGGCCTGCAGACCAGAGAGTCCCGGGTTTGATTCCCGCTAAGGGCACGAACCTCAGTTGCAGTTTGTCCCCGGCCCCAGGTGTGGTCATGTGGGTGGCAACCACTCGATGTGTGTCTCTCACATCGATGTTTCTCTCTCTCTTCCTCCCTCTCTCCCTCCTGCTCTGTCTGAAGATAAATGCAAAAATGTCCTCGGGTGAGGATAAAAAAAAAAAGTTAAATTAAAAACAAAAAACCTACCACATTCAAGCCTCATCAAGGTCCTGAGAAGAAAGTTCTCTGATTCCATTGTAGCTGAGGACATCGGATGATACACAACCCCGCCCAGGTCACAGCTGAACCACTCGGAACCAGAGGCCTCGAGCTCCATCCAACACTGGAGCCAAGAGTTTGGCTCTGGCCACAGGGTGGAGAGAGGGGTCTTTGCTGCGGGAACACCCTGGGCCGTCCCCAGGGAGCTGTTGCTCAGCCCTGGCCTGAGGCCCAGACGCCTTCCCGCGGGGCTGCAGGGAGAGGCTGGCCCTGGGCTGCAAAGCCAGCCCCAAGCTCCCCGGGCCTCCCAGCAGCCCCACGGGGGCCCCTCTCCCCGCAACCAGGGTATCCTCTGCACGCATGGGGCGTGTGAAGGAGGCAGGGAGGCCGCACGCCCCCACACAGCAGAAGGTCCTCTTCAGAGACGTGGCCGTTCTCAGATGTCCACCCTTCCAAGGCAGGGAAACCTGGCCGCTCGAGGTTCTTAGAGGAAGGTCTGCTCTGAGGGGAGCAGGGCCCAAGGGCAGGGTGGGGGCGGGAGAGACTTCAGGGCGAGCTGGTCGAACTTGGAGAAAACTCAGATGGTTTGAAAAGCTTGACACCCCCTTAGCAAGAAGCACGGCCACGGAGCGAAGCCGCTACTGTTGTTAGAAAACCCATCTGGGCCACCCTAAATGGATTCTTTTGGGTAAATATGGACATTTAAAAATAACAGCAGCATCTATTAAAAATATATTCAAATAAGTTTTTTTTTAATGTTTATATTGATTTTTCAGAGAGAGAGAGAAACATCAATGTGAGAGAGAAACATCCATCGGCTGCCTCCTACACGCTCCCCACTGAGGATCGAGCCTGAAACCTGGGCATGTGCCCTGACTGGGAATCGAACCAGGACCTCTCAGTCCATGGGACAACGCTCAATCCACGGAGCCACACCCGCCAGACTCAAATAAGTTATTATTTCCCTCCTATCATAGCACTTTCACTGATTTACTATAGTTCAATCCTTTGAAGTCTTGTCTACCCAAACTGCCACAAACATGTAGAGTTTGGCAAATGTGTGGTTTAGCAAATTCTCTGCGATCATAAGCCGCTAGGTGTTAAAATTCAGATTGAGCTAATATTACAGTTCATGTATAAACAGCATAAACATAGGCTGTTTATAAATAATTTTGATAATTATTAAACAGAAAAGTAAACTTTTGTTGATTTTTTTCTCCCTCACTGAATTGTAGGTCTGTAGGCGAGTCCTGCTTCTTTCTGCCAGAATGAGACAGGTTTTGGCGTCAAC